TATAACAAATAATATGAGACACGACCCATTGTCTATATTAGAACACTTCTCATTAGGTAACAAAGTCGTAATTTTTCATTTTTGTCAAAAAGTGTCTATAGTGGTGAATTATGGTTTAGGTTTTTTTTAATAAAAGTTTCAAAAATTTCTATGTATGTGGAAAATGTAGTTGATTACCAAAGGTTACAATTTTTATTTTGAAGACAGCATGGTCTAGGAAGTGTACATTTTTTTATGGGGCAAGTTTCCAAGGCGGGTTTTCTAGGGGCGAGTTGACTGCCAAAGAGTGTTGCCAAAGTGCGAGCCAGCGTGTTATTTGATCACAAGTGCGAGACATCACAAGTGTGAGCCAGCGAGCCATGACGTCCGTCTCGACAATAGATACGAGACGTTACTCGAGTTGTGCGAGGTATCGGCTGAGATTTGTGGAGTACAATTCAAAAAACAACTATAGGTCTGATAATGAATTATTGTGATGTTAAATAAACAATGTTAGCTATCAAGGAGCGACTGTTGGTTATCAAATAGTTTGTTGAAAGATAGAGGAAAATGAAAAATTTAAATATTTCTAAATCATATTTTTGCAGTAACACATTCGCTGCTAGCAACATGTATACTTGTCCCACAGGGTTTTCCTGAGGGCTATAGGGATGACTATACTCGTCAAAACCAGGGTAACATTGTAACGTTTATTACTGTACTTCATTGTTATACTGTACATTGAAGAACCACAAACTTAACAGCTAATAGTTTGGGGAAGATACACCTAGAGATAACATACAAATAACATGTATCTTTGTTGTGTTGTTTTGTTGTACAAAAGATTTCACAAGTGTTGGTGCCCACCTAACATATACCAACCCATTCAAAAAGCGGACGAAAAAAATTGCACTTGGCAAAAGTAATAGAAAATACTCTCATTGCCAGTGTCGCGTTTACTTGTCCCCTAACATTTTCCCACCAATTTATTTGACACACCATTTTTTAAATAATATTATTTTGCTTGATTACAAAACAATTGGTTTCAGATGAAGTGTCAATTACGGTTAAATTTAACTCTGCTTGATAATTTTGTATGTTAATTTTCGATTTTATAGTTTATTTAAAGGACCCACACTGGTCTTAATGACTTTCTGAGGAGAGTTACATATGCCATTATATACAGCCAATCATTGCCTGTGGTAATGTGCTAATAATAAGCAAAATTTGTTGATTGCCAAAGGACTCTCCACAACAATAATCTATACCAATGTGACGCCTATACTCAATTTAATTCATTTTCTATTTGAACTTTTTTTAGAGCAAACACAACAAGTTTATTGTTGAGTATCATGTTACATCTATGGTTCAGAATAATTAAATAAATGAACAAGAATCACTTGAATTAATATTCTCAGACACTTCTCTGGATATATCACTTAGCTCAGGTGACTTTAGCCTCTGGCAAGAATACTTGAAACAGTGGCAAATAAGACAACTGTTAAATGAAAATTATTTCATGGTATATTTTATATAAAAATATTTCAAAATATAATTTAAATTTCATATGTTTCAGTTTTCATTATTTTCTAATGAAAAACTAATAATATTGAGTGACAAAATCGAAAATGAATCTCCACAATTTAAGCTATACTACTGTAAATGATTGAATAGTTAGTGCCACTGTCTGTTATGTTATTTTCTGAGGTCTAATAGCACATATTCGAGAGAGGCATTTAATAAAGAATAGCCCTTTTACAAATATTGGAGTAGTGATTATTTGAATAGTTTCATCTGGTTTATTATAGCTATAGAGCTGAGTCTCAATGAAAGGTTGCATTCAGAACATCCATTGTGATTGATTTATATTCCATTAAAAACAGTTCTGGAGTAGTGATGTTTTGCATTTTGTTTGTACCATATGTTTATACATGTCCAAGTAATTATTATCTGACTTGTTAAAATGTTTGTATTATCAGTGAGTTAATAATTGAATGTGTGTGCTGATGATAGGAAATATTATTGTGTATGGGTAAGCATTGTTGCATTTGTTGCGACTCTTATCCAGATTAGGAGTTATTGGAGTAGTGATTATTTGAAGTTTCATCTGGTTTATTATAGCTATAGAGCTGAGTCTCGCTGAAAGGTTGCATTCTGTTTACATCCATTGTGTTTATAATCTATTAAAAATAGGCTCCCAGCGGGAGCGTGTGTCTACTGCCAAATTTAATAGAAACGGGGATGTCGAAAATGATTAATGAAATAATAGTATTATTAATAATAGTTTTTGTTGCAGTTCTCCAAAACCACCGAGAGGGTAGAAAAAACAACAGGAAAACCCACAAGCAAAACAGTCTCGAACTGAGTTCAACTGTAGACCTGTTTAACCACTTCTACTCAATTTAATTTTAACTTCCAACATTCGGAACTGTGCCCCTGATAGATAATGACGAATTGGTTAGCAATGCATCTGAGGGCAGTAGACACACAAACAGTTTTGGAGTAGTGATGTTTTGCATTTTGCTCTATCTTGTTAAAGTACTGTAGTACCATAATGTTTATACATAAACCAAGTAATTATTATCTGACTTGTTAAAATGTTCATATTATCAGTGAGTTAATAATTTAATGTGTGTGCTGATAATAGGAAATATTATTGTGTATCTGTAAGCATTGTTGCAGTTGTTGCGATCTTTATTCAAAATATATATATTATATATTATTATTCAAAATAGGATAGGCATTCTTATTTAACAGAGGTGCTTAGTGAACAAATATCAAGTTCAGTTTCGTATTTTTTTCTGTGAAGCACTCATTGCAAAGACGTGCTTATTCGATCAGTTAATCATGCCAGTATATTTAAGTCTTCGTAAGAAGACCAACACAAAATTTCAAGGAATATACAAAAGTACTGATGCAAGAACACAAATATTTGTTCAGGAATCAAAGGGCTATAAGAATTATCAGCATAACTAACAGTAAGCTGATGATCAGATAAACATAATGATTATCTGTACTAATTCAGTACCTGTCTTTCTTAATCATTGTAATTAATAAACAATCAGATTTCTTTATTATAACTGACTGTTTATTATGTTGAGATATTCATAATAAACATTCAGATAACAATTTTAAAAAGTGGGTACTTACTAGGGGTGTTTAAGTATTGAGGCATGAATTTCTGCTTTTTTGGACAATAAAAATAGTGGTATGTTGGGGCATATTAATAAACAAAAGTTAGTACTTGTATCATATTTGAACTTAGTTTATTTGTAACTGAAATGAGTGCCTAGTTTTCCCTGGCACAATGCCATTCTTTCCTGCCTCCGGCATATGGTACCAGGTTCTTGAAGCTGGTAATTCTCCACTGTTTTTGCTTTTGTATTGTTGGAAGTTTTTAGAAAATTTTTTACAATTTTTTTTATTCAGTATTTGACACAGAGTCTCCTTACAAGGCACAGCCTTAGCATCGAGGAGCCTCTGAAAAATAACAAGTTTCTTTATTTTTCTTTTTTAATGCTTTAAAGTAACGTTTACGGTATTATGCCTATCTAATCACAAATAAAATATTACTGTACATGACAAATACATTAACTACCACAGATCGTAATAAAATTATTGAATTGGCATTTATTAAGCCAGGTAAATTTAGCCGAGAAAATTAATATTACTATGTTGACGTTGCAGTAATTAACATTATGAAAAGAACCAAATAAATACGTCTTTGAGTAAGTGTGCATTGCTTTTTTCCTGGTTTTAAACTGTAAAATATGCTGCCAGAAATCAATAATGTATTTTATGATACAGGTATTATAAGACTATGGAAATGTAGTTAACATATTGACTGAATTTTAATAGGTAGTATATTATCAATAAAGGTATCTATTTTAATAATAATATATTCTATTATTATATTGATATTGATACTATAATATGTAATTATTGTTATATATTATATATTATTCTTATATTTAAATTTTTATAGTATGAGATATATTTTTTATTATGTATTTACATTATTTTATTGTATTTTACATTGTTTTATTATAAATTCTTGTATAAAATACTGTTTTATATTGATTTTAGCATCATTGGACCACAGGAGCATTCCCCTTTATATAGCTGAAAACTTCACTTAGCTCCAACTTATAGTAATATTAATTTGCTGAAATTGTAATTTATTAACGGTTACAGTATCCTGAAATGACTATTTTAAGAATGAAAGTAATAGATTGATGAATGATATGTGTTTTTTTAATCAACATCATCAGTGAAATTTCTGTAATATTTTGAGTTATTTTCCCAACAGCTTTCTTATTCTTTGTGTTAACTTCAACTGGAACAACTACAAGAAGTTGATTACAGTATCTTTCTAAAGTACTTCTATCCATTCTTAGTGACATATACAAGGTAAGCCAATTTAAAATGATATGACTAAAACATATATTATTTTGAATGTAATATCTACTGTTGTACAATAGTTTTCACTTGGTGGTTTCCCTGAGCTCAACTTAAGCATTGCGAAAAAGTAATGATGAGCATCCTGCTTCGAATAAAAGGGATACACTACCATGACAATTACTCATGCTTATAATAATAGTAGAGCTTTATTAGAACATTTTGAGTGCAGTCAAACACAACTTCAACAACTGATGATATCTGCCTGTCAGTCAGAAGAAAGCTCTAATAAAAGGTAACTAAACAAGTGGTTTAATAAGAGTTGTCTTTTTATATTGAAACCACATGAAATTATTTGATCAATGCAATACAGCCATGGTAAGCTCACAGAAGATGGTCAGTTGAAGGCTTAGGTTAGACACTCTTTTAAAATTTATATACAATCAAATATTTTATGGTATAGAACTGCCAGAGTATTTATTGGACCACTGAGTAAAGAAATCAGTAGAAACATTGGTAGAAACTACCTTTTACATTTTCCTACAGACATACTGTAGGAACTTAGCCTACTAAACATGAAGACTATATCTATTTCTAGGCATAGAAATTTGGTATTTGTACCTGGACCTAGGATTTGAACATATGTACAATACTACCAGCAACTATAAATTCCATGTAACCTACTTAAACAAATACTTGTTGTCATGTTTAATTTGGTTTGAAGAAATTAATTTGTTTTGTTACGACCAGCAACACTGCTTACAGTATTTGTTTAGAGAATTTTTTTTTCATGTTTTTTAGTGGTAGGTTTTACACAGAAAAAGAACAGAATAAAACTTTAGGTGAGACTTTTTCATACCTTGTTTTGCAAGCTTATTTTTTCAAAGATCGTCAGACTTATTTAGCAAATATTTTTGCCAGAAACATTCAGACGGAAGAGAAAACACAAATAAAATTAATGGGATGGTTAAGTGCTTAAAATTTTTATAATTAGGAAGAAATCTTATTTTTTGGAGATTTTAAGGCAGTGTCAGGTGTAATAAAACTAAAGAAAATTTTTTTCCCCCTAAAATTTCCTTTTTTTTTTTTGTGGTTGCGGGTGCGCTAATCGACCGAAAATAAAATTTTATATTTATTCAAAATCATCATTATTGGCGGGCAGCGGGTTTGCTATACACAGTACAAAAAAATGTATTTGCTTAAGAACCGCTGAATGTTGTTTATAACTAACCATGTTGCAGCCATGTCTTTTTTTCCAGTTTCTGTGTCTGCTGATAAGTAATTAATAGATGACAAATAAATTAATGAATATATGAATATGCATGATTAACCTCCAAAGGGATTTGAGAATCATAGTACTGTATTAGGGAAGAAGGAGAAATGCATGTTAACTTCATACTGAAATTAAAGTACAGTAAACATGACATCTTGAAATTTAATCATTTGTAGTAATAAAGTTCATACAGCTGAATGTAGAAACACTACTGCCACTGAGTAAGAAAGAGAGTATGGCTCATAAAAGCCAGTAATTAAATGACGATGTTTAATGAGCCGCTAACTAATACTGTATTCTCTAAGAATGCTGTAAACAAGAACCAGAATCAATAAATTTTGGTCCATTGAGATGAGATGCATAATTCTGCTGAAATTATGGTTCTTCCTCTTATTAATTTAAGTTGTTCTCAAGTCTGAGGTTCAAAAGAATATGTAAATTATTACACCATTAAAAGATGATTGAAATTGCAGATCAGTATTGTGATCTTAATATAAATAACACATTTGGTAACCTGTATAGCAGAAGTTATTGATCCCCAACACCCAAGTATCAATACTTACAATCCCGTAGATTATTATTACCAAGATTTTCAATTTAATATGAATAGCACATTTGGTACATTAGCCTGTATGGCATCGGTTCTTGATCTTTCAACTAAAGTACCAATGTTTTATGGATTCTTAATGAAAATTTGATCGCATTAGGACTTGATAGATCAGTGAAAAATGTGGGTCGTAGTATACCGCAACTTTGATATTTTAGCATTCTTCTTTGTTAATATTATAATAAATAATAGTACTTCTGTCGTAAATTGAACTGTTATCTTAATGATAGTAAATTGCCTTTCAATATAGAATTTTACATTAATTTGCATAAATACAGTTAATATATTTATCTATGAAAACAATCTATTATGTTACCAAGGCAACATAATATGTTATATATCTATGGCAATATCCTGTGCTATCACCATGAAAACAATGAATTGAATTATATATCATCATAAAAAATTTTATATTGAAATAGTTATTCTAAGTTATACGAAATAAATTCATTCTAGATTCAGTAAATTATTTGTGAATTTTCTTTTCTTTAGTTAATCCAGTAAGTACTGGATTAACTAAAGAAAAAAAAATTCACAAATTATTTTTCAATTGTTCTTGTAATTGTATATTTAAAGATTTACCAGTTTACATTGTATGCAATCAAAGAATACAACTCATGAACATTTATAACATAACTAATAGGGTAATTGAGATATGGACTTTACTATAGCCATTTATATTTTTTCCTTGGTAATTCATCTTTCTCATAAAATTCACATCAATATTAAATACACTCATGCATAATTTAAAGATTGTGCTTTTAAATTTTTATCACAATTTGCTAAAGATGATCTAAGTCCTTGTATGTAAAATATATATGAGTATGAATATTGTTATGATGAGTGTAGCAATAAAAGAAATTATTACTTTAGCATTTAATTATATTTCTTAATAACCCATCATTTAATGCAATAAATGCTTCTGAAATAAAAGAAAAAACAATCCTAAATAAATTTGTCTAATTTATTTGTACTATCATTATCCTCATAAATAATATTTATAGTAAACAGTAGAAAAGAAACATTGATTGGAATATACTACCAATATATATATATATATATATATAGTATGCTATAAATTTATCTTACATAGTTTACTGAATATTTTCATTATCATCATCATATTTTTATTCCCTCTTTAAAGATATATTTCAAATTTTATTATATTACTGAACTACTTAGTACAATTAGTGCTTACTGAAATTGTCAATGTGTCTAAACTTAATTAAAGACAATCAATAAATAAATAAATTTAAATATTGTGATATGATTTGACATGTGCATTAGCATATCTAGAGGTAATTAACACGAAGTCTAAGGAGTTTGATGAGTGAATGATAGAAAAAGGATGAGAGGGCTACTGTAGCTGGGGTAAATAGGTCCACTATTTTATAAAGAAGTTATTAATACTTATATAGAATTGACTAAGCCAGAAGAGATGGATGTTTATTCACAAATTGTGTGGAATAATAAATTTGTTAAAATAAATGGTAAAACAATTTTTGATAAATACCCTTTTAAAAATGGTATTAGACTTGTCAGCGATCTGTATGATATACATGGTAACATAAAACGTTTTCAAGCATTTTCTATATCAAATAAGTATTATCTGAGGGTGATGAGTATCATAAATGCTATTCCTAGAAATTGGAAAGAAATTCTGAAACAAGGTTTCGATAGAGATTTGTGTTGGAAAAGAACACTGTTCATACATGCTGACCAAATAGATATACAAAATGCACATATACAAAATTCATTTATAGACTATTTGTTAATCGAAAGGTAGAACCTACAAGAACAAGAAATCATTTTAATACAGAATTTTGTATAGATGATGACTTGTGGCCAAGTATTTACGCTTTGTCCTTCTAGTGCACACGAGTAGTTAGATTACATATTCCAATATAAAATCTTAACAAATTGTTTAATGACTAATTATAAGTTATTTAAAATGAATATTATTGAGTCGAATCTTTGTTCCTATTGCAAAATGGAAATTGAAACTATTAAACATTTATTATGGGAATGTAATCTTATAAATTATATGTGGGATACTTTTAAATTCTGGTGGGAAGCTTTAACAGGAACAAATATTACTTTTAATTTTAAAACCATCATACTGGGACATAATGTTAAAAATCCAGATATACTACTGAATCTATGCATTTTAATTATTAAATCATTAATTTTTGCCTGTAGAAAAAGTCTGTACTCATTAAATTTTGGTTTATTCCTTAGAACTTTCCAATTTCATTTTATTATGGAAAAACAGTGCATTAGAAACAGAGAGTCAGCTCAAATGAAATTCAGAACAAAATGGAAGTTTTTGCAGGAGATATTTGTACTGTTATAAAAATCATATTTGTTCTGACTTCTTTATCAATGCTAATTGACTGGAGACTGTCACACTAATTTAGAGCCTATTAATAGTATTATCATTATTATTATTATTATTATTATCGTTACTATTATTATTATGATTCTTATTAACTCTTCTGTAAGAAAAAAGATTTTACGATATATTGGTGATTATTATGTTATGTTATTGTTTTATTGCTGACTTTTTTTTTGTTGTAACTGTTGTATGTTTTTTTTGTTAAAATTATTCGAAATTAAAAAAAATACTCAAAAATAAAAAAATAAAAAATAGGTGATATTTCAGTCCTACCACACATATTTTACATAGTGCAATTTTTTTTTGTCGTATTGCAAGACTGCACGTGGATGTGAGGATACTTATACATTTCTTAAAATTTATTTTTTTAAATAAATTTATTTATAAACACGACCTAACCTTCGAACACAAATTCACCATATATTTTTTTTAAAAGGGGAAAAAATCCAATAAAATCACTCGTAGGGGTGTTCCTCAACAAATTGCCAAGATAGAGGCCCCAAAAAAAATTTAACTTTCTTGCTCAGCAAATTCCGCTGTAGGGAACCAGGCTTTTCCTAGGGGTTTGTACTCCTTTCCTTATATAAATCATTAGTGCGAGTTTGTGGAAGGTTTATAACATCATTATCATACTTCCTTTTGGTCATTGTATTGCAAAGCACTCTGTTATCCAGTCTCTCCATGTTCCTTAATGAATCCTCCCACTCAATCCCAGAGCTCACACAGTTCTAGTTAAT